TTTTTTTTTTTTTACTTAAGATGTCGTCCTAAAAATGCCATGAGATGCTCATCAAACAGCATTAGAGACAAAAGTCAAATGTGACAACCATTGTGGGCCATCCTGAAACTGATACACAAGAAAATGTTACCTACCTAAACTGTAGATGGAGAGTATTGGGGTTCAATCCTGTTGCTCTGGTTTTAGAGGAAAGGAGGGTCTGTGGCAGCAATGTGGCGTTCGGACGTTTATGGCAGAAAAAGTGGAGGGGTGGAGTATAGGAGGAGAGAGAAAAGAAAAGAGATGCGTAGGAGGGGTCTGAGCTCTCGCTTTCTTTTTCTTTCTCTCTTTTTATTTGGAAGCAGATTTACAAGGTGTTATCCTCTCATAAGAACAGCATATCAAAAAGAGGTTCTAATGGATAGTATTTATAATAGTATATCCTGCATTTGGATGCAAAGTTTACTGTCAGTTTTAGTTGACAGATTAATAATATTATATATATTTATTTATTTATTTTGCAGGTCAAATATTAAATTGGAAGCAAAATTAAAATAAATGTATCCAGGTTTAAAATAAAAAAACATAATTTATTTATTAAATTAAAATTTGTATTAGTTGATAGAGAGTATTAGTAGTATTGTGTTATTGAAGATTTTACATCGAAGGCAAATGAAGGAAACCAGATAAATAAATTAATTTATGTATTGATTAATTTTGTTTACTGTAATCCTATTTACATTTGAATGGGCATGAATTAATTTTGCATGTATAAAAATGTATGAAATGTATAAAATGAACTTTTTCCAGAGAAAAAGCTGTTATCTTTAAAAATCATTTTTTAATCATTTTTTTTTCCATGTGCATCTCTTACTTACAGATAGCTGTATATTATGGGCTTTGTCTAAATGTAATGTCACATGACAAAAATAGTGCATTTATATCAAGGTGGTGACACATTTTGCTAAGCTTTTCCCTGCTGCACGTGCAAAGTAGGTTCACGAACATCTAAACAAGCAAAGCAGAAATATTTGCAAACAATAACTGTGCTTAATATATTGTTTTTCTTGCATTTGCACGCCGTTCCCCATTACTGAGCTGTTCAGCCCTGGTTGAATTTACTCTGTAACTGTATCCGGCAGCTCTCGCTCTCACTGGCGATTCCAGTCGGTGGATTAATACAGATATTCTCTTGATGCTGCGGCCAGAACAACATGTGTTCTAAATGACCGGTTTCATTGAGGAGATCG